ACCCGCTCCCCCTAAATGCCCAGCTGGTCTGCTCACGGTCCAGAACTCCAACTGGCCTACCTGTGTCATGTCCAGTGATTCAATTTGATTCAATTCAATACTTACTGAACATCTATCTGCAGAGGGCTAAGTGAGGGCTCTAAAGGCACACTTTTCTCCAGACAAGAACAGTCCGGAGAGATAGGAGTCCTACACAAATAAATGAAGCACCAGAGAGAATGCGATGAGCCCTCCTCTGATGGTGACACGGAAAATTCGTTTTATTTTCGCAGTAGGGACTGATCAGATAAAGAAGCATAAGGAGGCAGGTTGTAATTTGTGCTTTGAGAGATGATTATTCCAAAAGGTAGGACTGAATGGAGAAGGGCATTCAAGGCAAAGAAGAGCAGATGTTTAGAGGAAGGGCTGACAGTGGGCTCGTGTGGGCCTCGCAGAGAGGAGGGATGAGGGACAGGGCTGCGCAGGGGTGTGGAGGAGCAGGCTCACTGCACACCTGCCCAGACGTGCACTGGGGCATCTCCCTAGGGCATGTATCTGCAGGAAGGGCTGCTCCCCAGGAGGACTCAGGTTGCGGGGTGAAGGCCCAGGCTTCAGAGCAGGAGTGGACAACCAGGAGTCCACAGGCCACACACAGCCAAGCACACACATCATCTGTGGCCTGCGGTAGTTCCCCCCCAAAATAAATAAATAAATAAATAAAACTGATAACATGAGACAAAATAGAATTTTACAAATAAATGTGTATTTTTAGCCCCTTGGAGAAAATACTGGAAAATCCGGTCAGGCCAGGCTTAGTGGACCAGGCTTAAGTAGACGGAAGAGAAGCAGCAGCAGGCCCTCTGCAGAAAGGATCAATGCCCTCCAGTGGACTGCAGTAGCCACCCTGCCTGGGAGCCACAGAGCTCTGAGTTTGTGGCCCATGCTGGGGGAGAGGAGCAGGGAGGGAGATTTACGTGTCCAGAGGCCGCTTACTAGCCACGGAGGTCGAGCATGTTTCTTAGACGGTCTTACTTCCTTTGCTGTGAAATGGAGCAAATATCACCTGCCTCCGTTCTGTCATGCAGGTGAAATTAGATAATTTATGACTTAGCAGAGTGCTTCGCACATAATACATATTTCACAAGTGGTGGTCACCACTGCCAGAATTATTACACGGAAATGCTTCCTCCAGGGCCAGGAACTGCCATAACATTGCTTCCCACAGAAAAACCAGAGGCGTCTTGGACACGGGTGTGAGGCGTAAGGGACCTGGCCCTTCTAAGTGGCAAAATCCTAACCTGTGGCCTTGCACTCGGTCCACTGCCTTCCGCTCTGGTATCATTCTTTACCTTAGAGATAGAGAGGATGCTCTCCCCCATGCACACCCCTCACACAGCAGTATGTTAATGCAGGGGTTAAAATATTTCAGTTGAACCAGCCCGCTTGCTTTTATCCTATTTACAACAGTTTTTCCTTCATACAACCAATTCAAAGATACCCAAATCATCATTATATCATGAACTGCCATGAAAGCCAAGGCTTACTACGAATCCAAAGAAATCAGCCTCCCATGATGGGTGGCATAGCTTTCAATGTCCCCAGACCTGGGGAGGACTTTGAGACTGTTGGAAAATCCAGCATAAGCCTGTCAGACAACAGTTTAAATCCAGAAGATCATCTGACTCTAAGAGAACTGAGCCATTTTTCCTGAGCATGAGTTAAACATATGGCACCCCCTTAACCACTTTCCCAGAACTACCGAGGGAACCGCTTCAACACTATAATTTTGCTAAGTGAAGTGACTTGAGTTTTGTTCTCACGCATTAAGCAAGAAGCACACTCTACATCTCCTATGCCCAAATGAGCCACCGAATTGCCGCAACACCCCATAACAAAGTCCCCTTTAAACGACGAACTTATTTTAGCGCATAGACAGTCTAGAGAACATGAATAATCTCAAGCAACAGTCTGTCCGTGTGATAGCAAACATGTATATTATTCCATTTTGTCTGTGAAGCACGACGAGGAGAAGATATGCACGGCTGTGTGCCATTCTTTCCTAGAGCTCTTAAAACCAATGCCCTGTTAAATTACCTTGGGGAGAGGGCAGGTGGACAAAGACAGAACTTGGCATGTGAGGTGGTGGGCCAAGAACTCTCCATCGGCATGTTCACACCCAAGAAATGTTAGTGATGACTAGGGACGTTATATAAAGCTTTTCTTGAAAGGGAAAGCTGCTTTTACAAAACTTGATCCTTTTTCTCTTTAGAGCAGTTCAGTAATTAATCTAATCGATCCATTTTACCAGAAACAGAGAGTCCTCAGGGGTCATCTGTTGATTTTGCTGCCCTGCATCCATCCACCTTACTCCAAATGTCCCTCTGAAGAGCCACCCCCATACTTTCTCAGGGGGAACCTACAATCCAGCTCTGCATCTGAACGTAGAGCTAAGTCAAGTACTTGCCTTGGTGACTGGGCTCAGGGAACATGGCCCAGTCAGAACCAATCAGACTCGATGAGACTTCCATTGGGGTTTATGGGAAAGCAGTATGCTGTCCTCACTGGACTTAAATGAGAGAAGACATAGGCCTGGGTCTATGATAGGCATCTTCTGACCACCAGAGCAGGGTGTTTCGAGAGTGGTGTCAAAACACAGCAACGGGAATGGGAGAGTGATGGAGAAAGAGAAACCACACCCTTGAAAACATCTACAAGATGTCTGTTACCATGACCCAAAATCTCCACAGTGATGAGGCCTATTAGACTTGGATTCTCTCATGTGCAACAGGAAGGGGGTCTATCTGTGGTATGCACGTGAAAAGGCAGAGCTCGGGAAGGACTGACCCGAGACTCTCCACATGGCTTCGCAGGGGTGCTCAGCACAAAAACATTCAGCAGCCCCCAGCAGACATGCGGAGCCACGGCCTCACCTGGCAGAGAGCGCTCAACTCCTCCGAGGAAATGCCCTGTGGCAAAATCCAAGCAGCTCTGGGAATGGAGGACAGATTACAAAAGAGCTCGAATCTGGGGAGGAAATGCAGGGGAAATGAAAGAAACAAGACTTCGGGGGAATTTAATAAAGAGAGAGCGCTTAGGGGAGAAGAAAAGTTGGAGGGTAGCTCCACAAGAGGCATGGTCTGAGGAGGCGGGGCCTACGGAAACCCTGTAGACATTGTCTCTGATTCTGATTTGCACACCACATTTTTTAGTCTCTTCAGGCTCTGGATACGTGACCTTATGCTAACAGGCCTTCCTGGCAAATGCAATTGAAGTATCTATCAAGGGGGAAAGTGAAGCACATTTGTCCAGGAAAATAAAAATAACAAAGTCTTGTAACTTTACTTTGGGATAAGATAAGGGTCTTATAATTGTTCTAAATTTACTTTAAAAACACTACCGCTTCCAACTGAGGACTGCAGAAAAATGAGACAGCTTTCAAAGCTGTGTTCACACGGAATTAAATACTTGGCCCAAGAAAGCTGCCGTCTTAGACCCCTAAATCCATCGAGCCCCTGTCACAAATTGTCCTGGGGGCTGGGGCCGAGGTGTGGACAGCAAAGCTCCCTCTCCTCTTGGGAGACTTCTGCATGGAGACTTTGCGTGTTTCTTGGCTAGAGAAGAATTTTGTTTTCTGTTTTGACTGGAATGTGGGCACCTGAAGGAGACAGAGGATGAAGGGAAGGAGAACATGCCCGTTTCCCCACAGGAGTGACTCTGGACACAGTACCCTGCTTCAGGGTCGGGGCCCAGGTGGGACGGTGTGGCCTGGGGGGAGCCACCGCCCACAGCGCCCATCAGATCTCCGGAACAGCCGACACCAGCTTCTTCTGCAGCAGTGACACAGGGAGGGAACGCCGTAGAAGGCTGGCATACAACAAAATCCCAGCTGGAGACCAGACTGCAAGGTCTAAGAGGAACTTTCTTTGAGGCCCTTGGGAGGCTCCTCCTTGAATTTCCTGGGCACACCCGTTCAGGGAAACTTGACCTTGGGAAGGAGCACTCAACCACAGGATCTGGAATTGAGGTTCCTGTAACTCCCTTTGTACTCTGCAGGCATGAAGCCTAAGGCATTCCAATCACACCACAAAGGACTCCCATAAATCTTCAAATATACATACAATTCTAACGAAATGTACATGAAAAATGTACTTCCACACTTAAAGCAAGCAACTGAGTCCGTCCACATGGATTATCCTCAAAGAATCTTGAAGCCCAGGGGTGCCTGGGTGGCTCAGTCAGTTGAGCATTCATTTTTGGCTCAGGTCACGATCACAGGGTCATGAGAGTGAGCCCCAGCGGGCTCTGCGCTCAGCAGGGAGTCCGCTTGAGATTCTTTCCCTCTCCCCTTCCCTCCCCCACACCCACACCCCCCTCTGCTGCTCAGACACATGCTTGAGCTTCTCCCAAAATAAATAAATAAATCTTAAAAAAAAAAAAAAGAATCTTGAAGTCCAGAATGAACAATGAATTCAATCCACCACTAGTAAGCTTTACAGCTTGCCCAATGCTGCCATGAATCCAGGTATATTCCAGATACATAAGCTAATTTAATATCAACTTAATTAACAAATTTAGAAAGTTACTCAATACATTCTGAAGGAGGGAAAATAGAACAAATGTTTAGATCACCTATCTACAAAAGAGCTAGCCTTCACTAGTGCAGATGAGAACTAACTATGGTTCTGGTCCCTTCCTCGGGACAAATTTAAGAACGTGTTCTCAAGCTGCATCACCGTCTTAACTGAAGGTAGCACTGTTGTCTGCACAGGATTCCTATTCATATTTACATGTTTATATTCATTTTTGGACCTAGCTACTATGAAAACAGTTCAATTTATTTTTTATTTTTCTACAACATCAGATTTTCTTTCTCGCACACAAAACCCACATGCTTTGACACCTACGAACGGATTAACACATTGACTCTAAACCAGGATCCTCACTTCATTTACAGTCAGAGTAATTTGCATGTCCCCCAGCAACGTGACAGCTCCCAAACCTGAAACCAAATCTCCACTTACCGAGCATGAGAGAGACTGCCATAATTTGACGGCAGATGCTGTAAAGGGCCTTCTCTCTGATTTCCAGACTTTAAGTAGCAGGATCTAATTTCCCCTGGAAAATCAAAATTTCAGCAAAGAATATTAGAAATTATTGGTATCTGATCATTGCAGCTTACACTTTTTTCAAGTTAGAGGGACCTCATTTTAGACTGTTTTAATAATAATCAGTAATCTAGGTCCATTCTTTATATTTTTCCACAGGATGTGTAACTTAACTAAGAAAATCATCTTGACATACCCCTGTAATAATATACTTAGACAAGTTTGCCTCAGTTACCTATTACTTAATTGCTTTTTATCGATTAATTTGCACCATCTCTTAACTCACTTTTATATACATTTGACCCTGGGACAACGTGGAGGTTAAAGGCACCGACCACCCACACAGTTGAAAGTCCACATATAACTTTTGACTCCCCCAAAACTTAACTACTAATAGCCTGCTGGTGACCAAAAGCCTTACCCCTAACATAAAGTCAGTTCACACACAGTTCGAATGTTATGTTTTTTGTTTGTTTGTTTGTTTAAGATTTTATTTATTTATTTGACAGAGAGAGACACAGTGAGAGAGGGAAAGGGGGCAGTGGGAGAGGGAGAAGCAGGCCTCCCACGGAGCAGGGAGCCCGATGCGGGGCTTGATCCCAGAACCCTGGGATCATGACCTGAGCCGAAGGCAGACGCTTAACGACTGAGCCACCCAGGCGCCCCCGAATGTTACATGTTTTACATATTGTTTTCTTATAATAAAGTAAGCCAGAGAAAAGAAAATGTTATTAAGAAAGTCATAAGGAAGAGAAAATACATTTACAATACTGCACTGTATTTATCCAAAAAAATCCCTGTGTACAAGTGGACCCGCACGGTTCAACCCCATGTTGTTCAAGGGTCAACTGTATTCCCTTCAGTTCGCTGTTCTGCGTGTTTTCATCATGTGTCAGTATGATCAGCGTAAGCCATGACTGGAGTTTTTTGTATCCTGTGCAAAAAAAGGCTTATCGGGGTGCGGCTCTGATTGGTGGCACACATGAGACCATCCCCACCTCGGAATCTGCAGATGAGCAGTGGCGGAGCGCGCTGGTAATGAGGAAAACCAAGAGATGGAATTAATTTGCAGAGTTAAATTAGCTTGCTAAAGAGGTTCAGGGTATTGCGGTGTGAAAATCAGTTCACTTTGTAAATGTCAGTGGTCTCCCCGGAGAAGAGGTTTTAGGAACACCTTCTTCAGGTGACACGGGAGCGTAATTAACCCTGCTGGTGACACGGGAGTGTAATTAACCCTGTTGGTGACAAGTAGCTGGAATGGAGACTGAAGGACTGGACCTCAACCTGGAGAGGCTGCCCACGGAGAGATACATTAATAAGGACAAACCGAAGCCCCCCTGGAGGCTTTGATAGAAGGGTTAATGTTGTTCTTTATAATGTAAAAGACTTCTTTGTATTTCTGCAGATGCAAAAGCACTTCAAACCTTAAGCTACTCATCTGTAGATAGGGTAAACATATAATTTATTATCCAAACCAGGATCCTTTTCAGAGTAAAATAACAAACATTAATTGATATAAGGGACTTAAGCCAAAGACCCATCCTCAAAAAACAAGGACCTATGTCCCTTATCTACAGAACTTTGAACTTGCCACTTAAAATTCTTTCTTTTTCTTTCTCCCTTTCTTTCTTCCCTTCCTTCCTTCTCCTTTTTTTCTTTCTTTTTCTATCTTAAATCCTTTTTATAACAAGGCACTAAAATATATATATCAAAGTCAGATTTTCAACTTACATCCAAGAAATATTTACTAGGTGCCAGGCACTGCTTTCCTAAAGTTCACAACTGTGAGGTGGGCAACATCATTAATCAAATTATAAGTCAATAAATAATCAGAAGCTATAACAGTATCAAAGAAGGAAAAAGGACAGGGTGTTCAGAGAGCAAAAAGCATAGGAACCTGATTAAGTCTGGGGAGTCCAGGAAAGGTTTTCCTGAAGAACCGTTTTTAGAATTAAGATATGAAGGATAAATAGCACATTGTGGGCACCAACATATGCTATGTGCAAAGGCCCTGAGGCAGGAGGGGGCACACTCTGCTCTAAGAACATTATATGCGAGCAATCACAGGACTAAGTCTTCCTGTTCCAAAGTCTAGTACTGAGGCTAAGAGACCACGTGGGCGTGAGAAAGCCACCAGCTTTATCCCTTCCTCATTAGCAAAGAGCTCTAAAGACTTACCATGTTCATCAATGAAGACATGCATAGCATCCACAGACATCTCATCTTGCACAGATGTTTCAGGCCCACTGATGACTTGCAAGACAGAACTATCTTGCTGGGAAGTTACTCTGTAGATTATTTGTCTTTGTCTATTGCCCTGGAAACTTAACATATATAAAAGTTTCAAAAACTATTTGCAACTCCTCCATATTCTTAACAAATCATTAAAAGAAGCAGCCACCAAAATGAAGCTGCTTCACACTTCGTACCAACACGAAGCTAAGTAAGTAAGTTATGCTCACAGGGTCGTGATCTTGGCAGGCTCAGTGAGCACGGGGCTGGTGCTAGTGTGGTCTTGACTTTGCAGGTCTGGTTTTCCTTGCTTGGAACTGTGTCCATTAGGCTTTTCACTTTCTTGGATTTCCTCCTTTTTCTCATGGGAGCAGTTATCTGAAAAACATTGCTTTGTGTGTGAACATAATATTAAATAAAGAAATTAATGTGAAAGCACTTGAAAATAAGTTACCAAAACTGAAACAAGAATAGACAGAAAATCTCTATAGCACCTATGAATTCAGAATGTGTTTAAATAAATTTTAATTTTACTAATTATGGAAGTACCTAAATATATTTGAAAAACATAAGCGCATATATGTTGGAGACAAGTTGTTTATTTTTTTTTTAAAGATTTTATTTATTTATTTGAGAGAGAGAGAATGAGAGACAGAGAGCACGAGAGGGAAGAGGGTCAGAGGGAGAAGCAGACTCCCCGCTGAGCAGGGAGCCCGATGCGGGACTCAATCCCGGAACTCCAGGATCATGACCTTTTTTTTGGTATATATGCTTTTTTGTTTTATAAAAGTTAAGTCACAATATAGATATTTAATGATTATGTTAAAGTATAAATATTTAATGAGGTTAGATATTCTTCTACATCATCTAAAAATGGTAGTTATGTAATATTACATTGATACAGCATAATTTACTGAACTAGACCCCTATTGTTGTAAATTATTAAGTTGTTTCAATTCTTCCATACTTTGGATAATTCTTCAAAAAGCATCTCTACCTTCATTTAGGATTATCTTCTTAGAAATTCTAGAAGAGACTGAATATGAAATAGGATCTCTACGAAAATAGAACTCTGACTGACAGTGTACAGCAACCAGCCCAGGAAGCCAATATACTATGTGTAAGTCAGACTTGTAGGAAGTCAGATCATTATTTCTAGCAAAGAGTCCTGGAAGCCAAACAATAACCCCCATAATAACTGGCCCCAAATGGCCAGGACTTGATTAATTACTGAGAGCTTTCCTAATTTTTGTCCCTGCTTCCAACCAGAGATAAGAGTGTGGTTTTTCATAGCCTGGAACCTTAGTATATACCCAAGGCCTGAAGATAATCATAAAGCCCTTTGCGGAAAGGACCTGGGTTGGAAATATAAGAAAACCTTCGAGAGAACTGAGAAATCATGTATCTTACAATCGTGTAAAGGTCAAGCATTATTTCACTACCAAGCAGGGGAAAGATGAGGGCACATTGCCTAGGCTGCTGATATCATTCAACACTGTCATGTTGTTTTAGAAATACACTCTGAAATGGGTTTTTAGATTGCAACACATAACAAGTTATTATGTAGTGATAGAGGAGCAAGAAGATGTTATTACCGATCTCAAAGTCATAAGGCACCACTGAAACAGCATCTAATTTGCCACCTTTCGTTCTTGCCTTCCAAGAACTAAAAGACTTAGTCTTTTTAGACAGAGGTCTAAAAACCTCTGTCCTCTCCTGGAAGAGGCATATAATCCACTCCAGTTCCTCACTCCCTGCTGTATCTGCAGGCCTGTTCCTTTCCACAGAAAACCTTATAGCATCCATATTTCTTTGCACACCCCTAGATTTCCAACTTTATACTGTTTGGATTGAATGTGGTTGGCTGAAAAATTCAAGAAGAGCAGAAACTTAAGCGGACAAATAAAATAAACTTTACGTATGGCCTGAGGGGAAATTTAGAATAACAGGCTGAAATTGATCAAGGAGCAAAACTTTACATATTTTCCTAATTGGATCCTCACAGTAAATCTGTAACATATCGTTTGTTATTCCTGCTTTTCTGAAGAAACTGTGACTCAGATGGATTTAATAAGTTGTCCAACCTCCCCCAGCTGGTACCGTAAAACCAAAATTTGGCCCTGGGCTCAGAGGTGCCAAAACTGGTGCTCCATCCACCATACACACTGCATCCTGGGCAGACACACATGTACGGATCAACACTGTCCGATATGGTAGCCAGCAGCCACGTGGAGCTATTTAAATTTAATAACATTAAAAATTCAGTTGTTCAGCTGCACAATCCCCATTTCAAGTGTTTAACAGCTACCTGTGGCTAATGGCTACTGTACTGGACAAGCAGACATGGGCTATTTCCATCACTGCAGAAAGTTGCATTGGACAGTGCTAATCTAGATGCATGAATATTTATATAAAACAGATGAACCCCCAAATCCTGTATCTGAAAGATTTTTATCTCAAAGTAATCAATGCTTTCTCGTACTGCCTGGGTTGTTAAAATATCTACCTGAATCTTTCCTGTTCTTATCACTCTATATGCAGACTCTTAGATATAGAGACATAGTAAAATGAAGAATACATTCGCCTTACATAAGTTAAATACCCAAGCTTAATGTGTTTTTAAGTAAAGGTGGGCCAAATGGCAAGCACAGCAATCCTTTTGGCAGAACACCGGAAAAGCAAAAGAAACAAGCAAATTGCTGGTCATTGCCAACATGGAGCCAGAGGGGCCCCTGACTGTCCCAGAGAGCGGGGAACATCCACGGGCAAAAGGACAATTCTGGCACTAAGTACTACGCATTCTGGGAGTAGCAGAGAAAGGAAAGGAGCAAAGGAAAGGAGCCTGCACGTGCAAATAAAACGGCCAGTAAGCAAGCCTACCACACAGACACTATTTTATCAGATACACAGGCAGAAATGTACTGAACAATCACAGGAACATGGACACTTAAAGTTAAAAGATTTTGTGAAAACTCTAGTCCAGTAATATCCTTTTGCCAGTGAGGATATGGAGCCCCGAGATATTAAGCAAGTGGAAAAGAAATGAATCTTAACATTCATAAAGGAAATATAGTTTGTAGGAGCATTGGCTCTGGATCGAGACTGCCTGGGATAAAAGCTCAGTTCTGGTACTTCTCCTAGACTTACTAGACTCACTTGGGAAAGTTAGTGAAAATCTCTGAGCTTCATCTGCAAAAGAGAAATAATAGTACCCATAACATAAGGTTCTATGAGGAGTAAATGAGTTAAGATGAAAGTAACTGTATAATTTATTGTTCAAACTGGGAACACCTCTGAGGGTGAAAGGCAGTGCTATTACTAACTATGGTGGCAAAATGGTGTGACTGAGGACCCTCTGGGGCAAAGCACAATGTACAGTCATCCCTGTTGATACACATGAAGTGCTTAGGACAGTGCCTGGCACACATTAGAAGCTGCGTGTTTGTTATCATTATGTTTACAAGTCGGGATAATTAGGGAGTTCTTCATACAAGGATTTCATAATGGAATTCAACAGAAAAGTGGGTTCACCTCACAGAAATGTGCTTTACAATCAGCTTTCCCAGAATGCATCAGTTCCATAAAGGGAGAGAAATCTCCTGTGAGTTCTTGTCACAGTGATAAAATATAATTGCTCATTTCCTTGGAAATAAATATTGTTGCCTCCTAGGGAAGCCAAACATTCACTACTCTGCCTCAAATTTCCTGCTGGAGTAAGCCAATGTTAATAATATATGCTCAACACACAGCTTAGTATTGGCACATCTGGCAATTACCAATAATATTGCCAAAGCAGGGCGCCTGGAGGGCTCAGTTGGTTAAGCGACGGCCTTCGGCTCAGGTCATGATCCTGGAGTCCCGGGATCGAGTCCCGCATCGGGCTCCCTGCTCAGCGGGGAGTCTGCTTCTCCCTCTGACCCTCTTCCCTCACGTGCTCTCTATCTCTCATTCTCTCTCAAATAAATAAATAAAATCTTTAAAAAAAAAAAAATCGCCAAAGCAGCAGTGACCCAATATTTGTAAAACCACATCACAGAAGCTCATTACGATATGGATTGCCTTCTCTGTGTCATCACGACAGAACTGATGTGGACTCGTACCTCCGAGAAGCCCACTGTCTTTGTCCTGCTCTCCTGGGCCATTCCTTTGGCTGGATGCCGCCAGCTTGGAAGTATTGATTGATTCTAAGAGGGAGACAAATTCCAGGAAGTTGGATTCATTTGGTATCTGTCCTTCCTTAGCCTCTAGATCAGATTTGGAAGTTGGCATTGTTTTTTCTTTATCGCTGATCATGTCTGTGGAAGTTTTGCTCAGGAAGACATCCGTCCCACTGTCCACACTGAGAACCCGGGTGTGTCTCTTTTCGTGGCTAGTTTTACAGGATGACGGGTCAAGGTTAGCCTGGCCTTCCTTTCCCCCCCCAGACTCGGGGACCTCGTGAGGTGTGAAGGGGGGCGTTGTGTCAGAGCGGTCTCCCGGGGACGGACTGCCATCCTTTGTGGCATTTCCCCCCTCCCCGGATTCATAGCCAGAACACTGATTGGATGACGCCTCCACCATCAATCTCTCCGGGGTCCTGTCACTTCCGTTGCCTTCGGGACACATAGCGCCTCCTCCCCCGTCCTCGGAGAGCTCAAGGGTGATGACAGGAATTCTTATCTGCTCTGGGCTGGGAGGACTGGCCACCCCCGGGGCAGCCGGCTCGGCGTCCGACTTCAAGCCGGCTCTCTCGGCGCCGATCACCTTCAGGGGGAGCGAGCTTTCCAAGTCCGTCAGGGAGTTCGGGCTGCTGCTCATGGTGATGACGATTTTAATGGGCTCCCGCAGACTCAGCGGGTCTCCAGGTTGCGAAGTGTCAATAAGAGTGACAGCCACCTCACTGTCCGAGCAGTCCACTTCCTGGGTCGGCGGCGGGTCCCCGCGGCCGGAGGCGCCGGGCGCCGGGCGCGCAGCTCTGGCGATCACCGTGCTGCACTGGGGGCCGCTGCTGCTCAGGCTGTCCTCGGCTGGCCGGCTTTGCCACTGTTCCCTTAAGGAGCCCTGGGCATAAACCACAGGTTCCGGACTCCGGACGGAATTCTCACTGCCCCAGGGCTGGAAGGAAACGTCCGTTTCTAGTGGGTCGTACTGAGACAAGGACAGCTGCGGGGACTTCTTCAAGGCCTCCTTCTCCACTAAGCCGCCCTCGGATCTGTGGCGGAGAGGGGGCTGCCCCTGGCCTCCTCTCTCCTTCCCTTTGTCACCGATTCCACGTTCTGCCACAGCTGGCTCCGTGGGTACTGCTGGTGCGGTCCTGGTTTCCGGGCCGGACGCTTTACAAGCAGGGGAGCTTTCCATTTTAACAGCAGGTGAGGTAGAGGACCCTGGTCCTACCGCTTGGTCTTCTGAGAGAATGACACCTGAAATGGACAGCAGGAACTGCATTAGCTCCGGAACTGGATGAGTAACGGCCGCGCAAGATCTCCTAATAACAAGGCTAGGAGGAGCTCCGGCCACCACTGTGATTGGATGCTTATTTTTTAAATATCACCTCCACTGCGAAATTACTCTTAAAATCTCTGCATTTAAAATACTAATTCAGGCTTTTAGATTTTGCTGGTTTGCGGCCTCAGGAGGCGGGGCGGGTTTCAATACCGTGTTTGGGACGCCCTATTGGAAAGGTCCTGGCTCTGCTACTTACTAGCTGCGTTACCTTGGGCAAATTACCTAATCCCTCTAAACCAAGATCCTCAACTGCAGAGCTACTGCAGAGCTACTGACATTTTGGACCGGATAAATCTTTGCTGTGGGGAGCTGTCCCACGCATTGCAAGATGTTTAGCAGCATCCCTAGCCTCTACCTACTTGATACCAGTGGCAACTCTGTCCTCAATCATGACAATGGAAAATGTCTTTGGAAATTATCGAACGTTCCCTAGGGAGAAACCCCCAGTTGAGAACCACTGTTCTAATCTTTAACCTCCTCTCTGTAAAATAGGAATAATTATACCAACTTCTGAATGCTCTCAAGAGGATCTATAAGGAAAGACATGGAAAGCACCAGGCCAAGGGCTTAGCAATGGGCTTGCTGGGGCCTTGACCTGAGGAAAATAATAACCTCACATTTCCGATGTGGTTCATAGATTTTCAAAACATTTCTAAATTGTATCTGCAATAATACATACTTCTGATGCTGGCTGAAAGTGAGCTCTGTCCTTCTCCCAATTTCCCTCAATCTGTTAATGACCCTGCCATTCCCTAAGTCTCTTGAGCTTGAAATCTTGGGGTAATCTTTTGGTTGTTCCTTCTTGCTTAGCCTTATGGTCATTCAATCAATAAATACCCTCAATTTTCGTTCACTTCTATCATAAAGACTGTTCTCTGGGGGCTTACTTACACTCCTCTGCCACCAGGTGCACTTTGTAGAAAGAATTGAGTATAAACTCTGGACATAGCTCTCCTACCTGGAATGCTCTTTTTCTTCACCCACTGAAGACCCCACTCAAGGCTTTTTCCATATCCCTCCTTCAACATGTAACTTCCCCTGATCACCTTAACCAGAAATAAGCTCTCTTCTGAACTCCTTAAGCAATTAATGTCTATGGAACTAAACTTTACTTACCATATACTTTTTAAGCTATAGCTTTATTTATATAAATTATCATCTTAACTGGATCGTACAGAGTTCTAGAAAAACAACCATAGTCCGTACTCATTGAATCCTCCAAAGAAACTAGCCTATTATTTTATCCACACTCAAGAATGTTAGCTGATGATAACAGTGAAGATCATTTTACTTTGTAGCAACCCCTATGCAGGTTTTCCTACTATACAGAGTAGATACCTTTTCATGGAAATAGAAGAACAGAAGGGTCAAAAAACTTGTCCAAGTTTACCACACTACTGATGGAGCTGAGTGTAGAGCCCAGATCCTCTGAGTCTTGATCTGACCCTCACATGGCCTCTCTCTCTCTACCTATGCGTATGCCTCCTTTACTTTGCCATTCAGATCTCAACTTGAATATTGTCTCATCAAAGTGGTTGTCCTTGACTGACCAATATCAAGTGCATTTGTTCAGAATATTGCATGAGAAATCCAAACCCCCAGGCAGGGCCTCAGGTATTGGGTTGGGTCTATAGAACACATTCATAATGCATTTTTATTGCTTCATTACCTCCCACACCACACAATTATGATTGTACAGATTAATAAGCCAATAGGACCATTTCTTGACATAAAGATGAGAGAAAAGAGCACCCCAGGTTTTAAAACAAATAAGGACTTAATGCAAAGACCCTGTGATGGGAACTCGCTTGGCATGTTTGGGGAAGAAGAAAAAAGTCCGTGAAGCTGGAGTAGAAAAAGCAAAGGGAGAATGAGAGCAAGAGAGATCAACAAGGCCGGCAGCGTCCAAAATATAAGCCAAAGTGTGGAGCTTGGATTTTATGCTAAGAATAATGTGAACCTAGCAGGAGTTTTTCAAAGGAGCACATGATCTGAATTAGGTTGTTAAAAATAACCCTGCCTACTGCGTGAGAGGTAGACTGTGGGAAGTATGACAAAACTGTTAGAAGAGAAGGGCGCTACAAGACCTCTTCTTCATAAAGGAAAAAAAAAAAAAAATGGAAGAAGAGACCAGGGAAGAAGCTGTTGCAGTTGATGAATAATGGTGTTTTGGACTAGGGCAGTAGTGGTGGACATGGAGAGAAATAGACAAATTTGAAATATGTTTTGGAGTAAAATTGACAGAACTTGCTGATGAATTAAAGCTAAAGGTAGTGAGGGAAAGACAAACCAAGGAAAACTCCTTGATTTTAAAGTTTTGATAATGGGATTGGTGCTGGGACTATTTATTGATACGGAGAAAACCAGAGGAAGTACAGATTTAGAGACAGCAATGGAGAGATCAAGCGGTGATCCATTTAATATGACTATTAGACATCTTATCCAGGAGGAAATAGGTGTAAGCAGCTGGATGCATGAGACTGAAGTCCAGACAGAGGTCAAAACTGGAGAAACAGGTTTACTCACCATCATCACATAGATGGTACTTAAAGCTAGATATGAGATCGCCAAGGGAGACCTAGTATCTAGAGAAGAGAAAGGGGCCCAAGACCAAGACCAAGGATACTCCAGCCTTTATATGTCAAACAACAGAGGAGGATCAATCAAAGGACACTGAGAGGGAAGCCAATCAGGAAAATGTAAAAAGCCAAGAAAAGAAAACCAAGAGAAGAAAGTTGGTCAACTACAACTTATTGCATATACATAAATAAAGTCATACTGTGGCCTATAAGTGGGTCTTTTGTGAATACATTAGCACATCATACCTCAGTACCTGCTTAACCCTAAGTAAAAATTCAATAATGAATTTCCTACCCGGAAAACCAAGTAAAATAGTTGCCCAAAATGACTTCACCAAGATACTGCTTAGCAATGAAATCCAACCAAATGTAGTCATTTGTTTTCTATCCTTGACACTTCAACTGTAAAAACATACTATATTACTAAAAATATATGTCAAGAAAGACACTATGGCAAAACTATATGATTATGTCACTAGATGCAGAAAAGCCTCTGACAAAATCCAGTACCCTCTCATGACAAAAATATTCAACAAACTGAGATAGAAGAGAATTTTCTCAACCTGATAGAGGCTATTTATGAAATACTTGAAAACTAACATCATATGTAATGGTGAAAGACTGAATGCTTTTCCCATAAGATCAGAAACAGACAATGATATCCACTCTTACAACATTCAATAAACATTGTAATGGAAATTGTACACAGGGCAATTAGTCAAGAAAAAGAAAGAAAAGGCAACTAGATTAGAAAGGGAAAAGCAAAAGATTTCTATTCACAGATGATAATCATTCTGTACATAGAAAATCCTAAGGAATCCACTAAAAAACTTAGAACTAATAAACATTCAGGAAGTTTGTACAATAGAAAATCAATGTGCAAAAATCAATTCTATTTCCATATACTAGCAATAGACAAGCTAAAATGAAATTAAGAATACAATCCCATTTATAACAGCATCTAAAAAAAATAAAATACTTAGGAATAAATTTAACAAGAGTACAAGACTTGTGCACTGAAGACTACAAAACATCATCAAAAGAATTCAAAGATCCAAATAAATGGAAAGACATCCCAAGTTCATGGATTGGAAAACATAATATTGTTAAGATGGCAATTCTCCCCAAATTTTTCTACAGATTTAATACAATCCTTATAATAGCCCAGATTTTTTTTTAAGAAATTGATAGTTCACATGGAAATGTACAAGACCCAGGATAGCTAAAATAAGTTAGAGGACTCACAGTTCCCAATTTCAAAACTTATCACACAGCAACTGCAATCAATATGGTACGATGATGGCATAATGGTAGATATATAAACCAAAAGAACAGAACTGAAAGTCCAACAATAAACCCTTATTGTATGGTCAATTGATTTTCAATAGGATGCCAGGACAAGTTAATGGGGGGGGGGGGAATAGTCTGTTCAATAAATGATCCTAGGACAACTAATAAACATTATGCAAAAGAATTAAGTTGAACCCCGACCCCACATCATTCACAAAAATTAATTCAAAATGGATCATAGACCTGATTATAAGAATTAACACTATAAAACTCTTAGAATAAAACATAGGGATAAATCTTTATGACCTCGCATTCAGCAATGGTTTCTTATATATGACACCAAAAGCCCAAGCAACAACGATAACAAAAAACAATAAAGTGGACTTCATGAAAATTAAAAACTTTTATACTTTAAAGGACCCCAATAAGAAAGTGACAAGACAAACCACAGAGTGGGAGAAAATATTTGCAAATATATCTGATCAGGGACTTGTATCAAAAACATATAAAGAACTGTTACAACTCACCAATAAAAAGACAACGTGATTAAAAACTGGGCAAAATACTTGAACAGACATTTCTCTAAAGATAATGATGATGATGAAACATCAATATCATTAGTCATTAAAAAAGTGACTAATTTCATGCAAATCAAAGTCACAGTGAGATACCATTTCGCACCCACTAGAATGGCTATATTCGAACACATAGTCAGTAACAAGTATCATCAAAGACATGGAGATATTGTGACCTTCATATATTGATGATAGGAATGTAAAATGATGCACCTGCCTTCTAAAACAGTCTGGTAGGTCCTCAAATGGGGAAACAGAGTTACTACATGATCCAGCAATCCCATTCTTAGGTATATATCCAAGAAAATGAAAACACATGTCCACACATAAACTTGCACAATGAATGTTCACTGAAGCATTATTTATAATAGCAAAAAAAAGTGCAAAGAACCCAAAGTTCATCAACTGATGAATAGATAAATAAAACATGGTATAGTCATTTAACGGAATATTATTTGGCAATAAAGTGAAATGAAGCACTGATACAAGCTACAACATATATAAACCTTGAAACCTTGAAAACACTATGCTAATTGAAGGGAGCCAGTCACAAGAGATCACACATTATATGAAATGTCCAGAATGGACAAATCCATAGAGACAGGAAGTACATTAGTAGTTGCCTGGGGCTGGAGAAGACAGGGAGATTGAGGAGTATGGCTAAGCAGTCTGGGGGTTTTTTTCCAGGTAATGAAAATATTCTGAAATTGATTGTGATGACAGATATACAACTCTGTGAATATACTAAAAGTCATTGAATTATATACTTTGAATGGGTGAATTGTATGGCATCTGAATTACATCTCAATAGACCTGTTAAAAAAAGAACACCATTGTGCCTTTTAACAACGAAAAGAACTGAATACTAGGATGGTGTATTATGAGATCGGTCTAAGGAAAAAAAATTGCTCTAGTGCAGTGTTGTTGAAAAAACATTGGACTTAGCAGTCAGTTGTGGGTCTAAATGCCACCTCTACAGTTGACTTGTTATGACTCAGAATGAAATGATATATGCAGAGCCTCTACTGTAATTCCTAGTACAAGGAAGGAAGGAAGGAATTGTTTCAATTGGAATGGTGAAGTCAAAAGCCCAGAACAGACATTGAAAGGATGTAGAGTAATACTGTTAATAGCTTGATCTGGAATAAGTAGTCTAATAGACAAAACAATGTGTGTGTGTGTGTGTGTGTGTGTGTGTGTTATGAAACTTTGTGTGTAACTAATAGCTGAAACCTAACTAAAGTTCATTTTTTTCATAGTAGTAATATAGAAAAAAGAATCTGAATAATCCTTTACACATCATTATCAGGGAAATTAGCTGAGTGATAACAAAAGAAACTTCATTTTAGGTTTTCAGACCCAAGTGCTAATTTCAGCTGTTTTCCTGAAGATAAAATTTTACACTACTTTCAAAACTTAAATAAAGCATACATTTCTCTTTACAGTAGCACTACAAAAAAATAAAAACGCAGAGAAAGGAAGTAGTTAATTCAGGCCTCCAAAAGCTCTTTTCTGAGTCTTCTGAAGGCAATCAAAAGATAATAAAATGAAATCTTTGTGAAAATGGAAAATAAAAATCTGGAGGCTTAAAAGAAAGTTCCCAGAAACAAAATTCGTAACTTGAAGCAGATGCAGTATACGGAATGCAGTATCATTTCCTCTGTCATTTTTCAATGCAAGTACTAAGATAAGAAGTTTGTACATCAATGGTGAATTAATCCTGTTTTCTATCTGCTATTCTGAGCCACATGAAATAAGCACAAACTGGAGAAAGGAAAATGACATAGGATCCAATAAAACATTCAATTTAAAAGTAGACGCAGTGTACAAAATCCGATGAGAAATAATTAAAATTAAGAGTTGAAGAAATGAAGTTGAAATAAAACTATGCAGTCTTAAGTATGGTTCTTATTTTGAATTAATTCACTGGCATTCTGTTTTCCAAAAGTTCTTTTTCACTTCACTGAAGATAATGCTGTGATCAATTATTAAATGGTGATAATAAACACTCTACCTTTGAGATCTTCCACTGTCTCCTGTGCCGGCAACTCCTAAACAAATGGAAGAACAAAAATCAATATGTGACTCAGCTCAGTGCCCATTTCCAGGCAGTCAGCAGACGCGGAGCGGCAAGCTACTCGTTTTCCCAATGGCACGTGGGGAAGAGACTATACAGTGTCCACGCTGCGTAAGCCTCTAATAAAACGGAGAGCAAAAACGAATACAGAATATAGGTAAGTGCAGATATTCAAGCAAGACCACTGTACTGTGATAAAAGGCGTTTGATAATTAAGAAAGTAAAAAGGAGAGAGAAGAATGTGCTACCGTGCACGACCGGAAATAAAGCCCAATAAGGTTCATCTACAGCAAAGGGGTTTATTGACTTGCCAAGAGACAGCTGTGGTTCAATGTGGAGTGGTGCAGTTGATTCCAGGGGAAGACAATGAATGACAGGAGAGGGGAGAAGGAAGTCAAGGTCTGCTGATAGGTTCTTCGGGCCAGGGTGGCAAGCCCAGCAGGGGTAGGCCGGGGCGGTGTGTCCAGCACCTGACTGGGTGTTTATCTCATGGTCCAAGGGCTCCCCTGAGGTCACTTCCACACTCTGAGATGTGGTACACCACCAGCACAAGGGCAGTATCGACAACTAGAATTGCTCCCCTTGCACGTTCCCATTTTAGGCATGATCAACACTACGTGACGAGAACAGCATGAAACAGAAAAACACACACTGACCAGTGGCCCAGATGAGTGATGAGAGTTTATGCTTTGCCCTCTGGAGCTGCAGCGGAGGGGAGGCGTGGAGAGGCTTCGATGAGGCTCTTCCTTTTTGCCATTGTTAATCTGCCTGTTACTGCTAATGCACAGAAGAAACACAACAGCAGTGATATTAGCAAATAGAACTATGACTTTGTATTAGTCCTTAACCAACTCCTTTTCCTAGATTCTATTTTGTAATATTCAAGGTACACAAATTTTGTTCTTAAGGGAGGATAATAAATATTCTTTTAAAATAAGACATGCTTTCTAAGGGAACTATCAGAAATAAGGACAAGAATAGTGACAGTGACACTCAAGAATCACTTTTAATTTTTCAGTCTGTGCAATGTATTACTTCTATAATAACAAACACAAATGTTCTTTTTGAAAACACTCTGGCATGCACGAAGCACTTAGATGACAAGATAAAAACACTGAAGTCAAATATTTGGCTGTGTTAAGCCTAATGCAAATGAATTCCAGAGCATGGTATAAGGTCAAATGAATAGTTAAACCATCTTGATTATCAGTATCAATTTTATGCTTAAGTGTATGCTTCAAGAGAAGAAAAATGTACATATTAGTCTCTGCCTATACTGGTGTGTTTTCATAAACAACTCATAAATGAAAAAAAAATTTAACCAAAACTAAAACATTTAAACTATGAACTGACACATTAATAGACATGTTACCTTGGAATTTTGTGATTAGTTATATGTTCCTTGTTGGCCTCTTTGTCTTTATTTGGCTTTTCTTTCTTTCCGGAGGGCCTCTGCTGAATTACTTCTCCTTTATCAAACATGAGGTGTAGGCGATAACTGACCAGTTTGATTATTGTGAAGAATATAGTCACTGAACTGCAGTAAAAAAATGCAGTGATAGCATTTGGAGGAAAAGCCTAAAGAGGAGAAAAGAAAGAAAAAAATTCATTTGTTTGCAGGACGATCTTTTGTTTTAAATCTGAAAGCATTGTTGGACTATTTATTGAATACAAATTGGGCAAGGTTTCAAATTTTATTGGCTTTACAACTTTTCCTGGTTGTGATACCTGAGGAGAAAGAAAGAGCTGCTATCTTTTTTATCTTAAAAACATCTTTCTTGTTTCTCAGGTTCTGGTACTAGTTGAGTTGATGAGCAACAATTCATTTGCAGGCAGGAACCCCGCAGAACAAAAGGTGTTTTATATTCAGCCTTTCCATGTTCTTCTAATTCTTTTCCAGAACCCGATCTGGCCTTCCTGCATGCCTGCTTGTAGCACATAGGGAAGAAAGGCCTTTGAGATGCCGTTTCCTTCAACAAAGCACAAAACGCCTTGTTGAGAACAGAGGAAAGAAGGAAGGAAAAAGGTTAATGTTACATCTCTTCCCTCCCTCCCTCCTTCCTTCCTTCCCTCCCTCCCTCCCTCCCTCCCTCCTTCCTTCCTTCCTTCCTTCCTTCCTTCCTTCCTTCCTTCCTTCC